GGACTAGAAGATGCAATAACCAGGAGTGCGGGGGTGGGGGTGGGGGTGTTTCAGGCCTGTCATGAGGCTAGTGTTTAAGAGGCAGAGATGGTGCAGTCTGCTGGACCAGGGCTGGGCAAGATGACACTTTGATCCAGCCCGCGGACTGCATCTGGCTGCTTTCTATTTATATCCTGCTGCCTGTGCCAACACATTTCCAGGCAGAAGGATCCTATTTAAATGGCTCCCAGCTCCCAGTTGCGGTGCTATCCCGGCGGAGGCCGGAGTCGCGAGCCCTTTAAATAGCCGTAGCACCCTTGGGCAGCTGCCAGTCAATGCAGCAGTGGCAGGGCTGGGAACCGCGAGCCCTTTGCTGTGTTTTTAATTCAAAGCCTCCATCCTCAGGCAACTCTCCAGGCTAGTCCCCAGCCCCGCCCCCTTCCACTCCAGGCCCCACCCCTTCCTTACCATAATTCATGAAGTGGCCCCCTTGTGAAAATTGTTGCCCACCCCCGTGCTAGACCCTTACTCTTCTCTGGGCCCAGACCCTCTAAATGGCCCCATTTTCAGTGGAACTCAAACAGTCCACCTGCCAAAAGCCCACTGCACCTCAGAGTCAGGGAATCCGTTTACAACCAATGATCATCTGGTTGCCCTGGTCTGGTTACAACTTTGAACCGTGTTATAAAATACAGCAGGTCCTACTTGTGTCTTTGCAACTGGACTAAACTAGTATCTATATTATGGAAACACAGAGAGAGTCTCCAACCCAAATCCGGCCCCCATTGTGGTGGGTGCCGTACGGGCAGGGGCGGCCCGTGAATATAGGCCGACTCGGCCGTCGCCTAGGGCGCCGTCTTACAACGGGGCGCCCGGGGTGCCCAATGAAGACATCACGCTATTGACGGCCGTGCAGGCGGGGGCACCGATCGTGCGTTCTGCCTGGGGCGCTAGCTGCCGCAGCCCGCCTCAGGCCACCCCTGCGTATGGGCTCATAGTAAGGGCAGGTCTACGCAGCAGGGCTAAAGCCAAAGTAAGCTACGCAACTCGAGCTACGTCAACTGCGTAGCTTAAGTCGAAATAACTTATTTTGGCTTTTGACACTGTCTACACAGCAGGAAGTCCGAGGGAGAATCCGACTTCCCTTACTCTTCGTACAACGAGGGTTACAGGAGTCGGAGTAAGAAGTCCTCCAGCTCAACATTATTTTGACATTATGTCAAAACAATTGCTTGTAATGTAGACGCAGACTGTGTTATTTCGGAATAACGTCAGTTACTCCGAAATAACACTGCTGTGTAGATGTACCCTTCGAGACAGTCCCAGCCCTGAACAGCTTACAGTCTAAATCAGTGTTTCCCAGTTTTATTTGGCCACGGGACCCTTTCAAACTCGAAAGAATTTAGCAGAACACCTAATAAAGGTCTAATATATGGATATCAGGGCTGAGTAGTGACATCATCGTCCCCACTCTCTGGCTAAGCTGGCATTGCACATGGACATATATCGTGGCAAACACAAATGAAAATCGTTTTCAATAAAACTCATAAATGCTTAAATATAAATAATTTTTTAAAATTATAAAATCTTATTGTAATGGAATCTTCTTGCAGAACCCTTATTTTCACTTCACGGAACCTCAGGGTTCCACGAAACAGCATTTGGGAAACATTGGTCTAGATGGAGACACAGAGAAGGGAAGTGAATTGGCTGCAAGTTAAAGGCACAACTGGGAATTGAAACCATGTCTTCTGAGTTCCTAAGAAAGTACATCCACTAGCCATGGGGTTTTCAAACTATGGGTTGCAACCCAGGACTGGGCTGTGGAATGTCGGGCCTTGGGTCTTATTGCTGTAGGGGGATCAGGTAACCAGTGGGGATGCTAAGGCAGCTCCCTGCCTGTCCTGGCACCGCAGACTGCGCTGCACCCCAGAAGCAGCCGGCAACAGGTCCAGCTCCTAGATGTGTGGGGAAGAATGCACAAGGCTCCATGCACTGCCCCTGCCCTGAGCACTAGCTCTGCACTCCCATTGGCTGGGGGACTGCTGCTGGCTGCTTCTGGGGGTAGCATGGTCTGCGGTGCCAGGAGAGGCAGGAAGCTGCCTTAGCCCCCCTGCTGCACCCCTCACAGAGAACTGCTCAAGATAAGCCCCTCCTGCCCCAGCCCTGACCCCCTGCCCCAAAGCTGGAGGCCCCTCCTACAGCCCAAGCTCTCATCCTCTTCCCCATCCCGGAGCCCAGACTCCAGTCACATTATGTTGGATCACGGGCTCCAACAATTTTATTCACCTGGGTCATGAGAAAAATAGTTTGAACTGCTCTAGTACACACTCCCTCCTCTAAGTACTCCTCTTTTCCACCCAGTTATGGGGAAACAAGCTCTATTGCCCTGTCCAAACCAGGTCCCCTGCCTTCGTTTGGTGTCATACAGAGTCTCATACTGGTGAGTTCCAGTATGATTGCAATATGCTAGGCTGCTCAATCTCCTGCAAGAAAGGCCCCCTGGGCCCATGAATCTGATGCAGGGAGAGAAAATCAGAAGCAGGAGTCAGGAATTTCAAACATGCCTCCTCCCCAGCCACTCCCCACAAATATTCTACAGCCTTCAGTCACTAAATGTTTCTGAACATGGCAGAGTTCACAAAAGCGCCTGGTGTACATGGTTTGGCTTGCTCTGTTCCCTTGCATTCCTTGAATTAAATTGTTTGTAAATCAAAATCATGCCCTGGTTCAGACAAGCACCGAGGAGCAGAGACGTTGGGCCAGAATTTTCCCTCTGAGTTAATAATAATATCTTAGGGTACGTCTAGACAGCGGCGCTATTTCAGGAGACATCTGGTATCCCGAAATAACGTTTTCTGCATCTTAGGAACAAGCCCGTTATTTCGAAATATTCTCAAAATCACAGGCTTGCTATTCCGACGCCCTGGTAAACTTCGTTCCATGAGGATTAAGGGACTTGTTAGAATAGTGATCTATTTCGAAATTTGGTGCTGTGCAGACAGCACCACATTTTGAAATAGACTATCTTGGAATAAGCTACACGATTTGCGCAGCTGGATTGCGTAGCTTATTTTGAGCTACGTGGTGCTGTATAGACGTTCCCTTACAGTGCCAGGGTGGTTTTCAACTCAAAGGATCCCAACACATTCCAAGGGAGATAGATGAGTGGCTTTATTCTACCGCCAAACATGCAGTTGTCTTTGGGATGGAACGCAATAGCTGTTTAACAGCACAGTGAAACGTTATGTGGCAGGTGAGTACAGGAGAGGAAGAAAGATCTTCTATCCAACTGCAAGTTCAAGGAGAATTTAAGGAGTTATAATGCAATGAACCAATTAGCAGGAGTCATCATTAAAACGCCACCTTCATCAACATTCACCATCCTACTGAGATACCACCATTAATTCTTAGGACAGGGGTGGGCAATAATTTTTGCCCGGGAGCCACTTCAAAAAATTTTGACATAGCCCCAGGCCACCCCGGAAGGGGCGGGGCTTAAACAGGAATGGGGGAGCCCCTCTGCTCCCCCTTCTCACTAGGCACCCATGCCCTGGAAGAGGCTTGGCTGGCTCTCCCACCCCCAGGCCAATCAGAGCCTGCAGGCGAGGGAGCGTGGGAAGCCTCCTCCCCGCAGTGCCGAGGCAGGGTGAAGGAAGCTTCACACAGCTGCCCTGCCCCCAGGCCTGGGGGTGGGGAGCGCCAGAAGTCTCCTCCGCTCTCCCAGCGCCCTGCAAGCAGTGCATGGCGCTGCTTCTAGCAGGGCGGGAGGAGTCTTCCTATGCTCCCCCGCCCCCCAGGCCAATTAAGGTCTGGGGGACTTGCTTAGCAGGCCGGATCTGACCCGCAGGGGCCCTTTTGCCCACCCCTGTCCTCGGATGCCAGGGATGTCTCCAACAGAGCAGGGTGACTGGTGGGAAATGGTGACTTTTTACTGGTAGCTTCTGGTAGAACCGTTTTCATTGTATTTCATTCCCCTGTGGTAAATAGGAAGTGTCTGTCCAAAGCTCTGCCCTGCCTGGTTGTCACACACTCCAGTGTAACCACCCCACAAAGCAGCATCACCGGCGTGTGACAACCTAGAGGGGCCCAAGCTAGTAAATTTTGTGTGCTCCAGCCCTGCCCAATACTGGGGGGGAATCCTGAGCCTCAAAGGCTGGATCCAGGTAAACCGGGGGCTGCATCCGGCCCCTGGGCCTGAGGTTCCCCACTCCTGCCTTAAACCCACAATCCCTGTGGATTGGTCCTACTACTTCTTCATTCTCCTTTCCCCGAGGGTCCAACCCCTAGTTGCTTAACTCACCTACAGGCTGGGGTAGGAGGGACAGTCTCTAATGTTAGTAAACCTCATTTCATTTCCCCATTCTTTCTCT